GACACCTTTACATTACGCCAAGAACAAGATGCTCCCCCAGGGTCTTGCCCACCGGAGTCATGGAAAGGGGCTCCAGGAAGGAAAGGAATTGAGCAGGTTTGGCCCAAGACGGCTATCACCCTATTTGTCAAGGTAAAGCATAACCTCGCCGTTGACACCAACGCAACGGAATGTTACACTGCACACAGCGGATTCTCACCAGATTTTCTCTGTTTTCTTTTGGTTTAGGGGGGTTGTTGGGTCCAGATGGGTCTTGCATGTAGTTAAATGATGAATGCTTGTATCTGCCATCTGGGAATCTAATTGGGAGTGAGTTGGATTGTAGCGGGAGACGGCCAAGGTGGCCCAGAGTATTAGACGAAATGTCGGACTAGCGATGTTGTCGCTCAGTCCCGTTGTACGTGAACTAGAAATATATTGAAAAGTAATCACCTAGCGATGTTGTCGCTGGTGTACGAATATTAGATACACGTTTTATGAAAGATGAACAAGATCTAACCAACACACTTCAGTCCCGTTGTACGTGAACTGAGGAAAGGTTACTGACTTTGGCACGGATGTCACCAAGAAAGGTAATAGGTGTAAATCTAGACGCCACACGACTCAACATCACCAAACGTGAGTTGGTCATAGCGTACACCATAGAACCAAGAATTCTAACACAGAGTGTATTAGCAGCTAGCATGCAGCGACCCACGCGTGACCCATCACAAGTACATCTTAGCTGCGTTGGCCTGTTCGTCTATACAGCGCCGAGAAGAAGTAAAATACATTCTGGTCACGAGATATCAACGGCGATGTGACACTGACATTCAACTGACATTCTCGTTCTTCCTCTCACCCGGCTAGCCGCCGTCTACCAGTCAGCCCTTTAGCCTTTTGCTATCTCCTCGTATTCACCCTTTCGCTTTTGCTTTCTCGTTCTAGTGAATTTCGACAGCGAATTCTTCAGCTCGTGCGTTGTCGCCGCTCAGCAAGAGAGCACAGGGTCACCTGTCTCTCCTACCGCCACCGCTGTTGGCGACTTCGATCTCACCAAGACCAAGGATGTCCCGGAAGACATCCCCCCTCAGTCGCCCCTGATCCCTGACTCCTACCCCGGGGCTTTCTCTGACTTCTACGGCTTCCCTTCTCACCCCATCTGCGCCTACCGTACGGGCGACGAGTGGCCAACACCCAAGGGCCCCCAGGCCCAGCGCGTGCCGAAGAGGGCCAGGCCCGTCTGCAACCACCCAATCCGAGCCGTGTGGCGCACACTAGGTGAACAGGTGTACAAGTTCCTCGATTCCCTTGAAATCTTGTGGTCGACCATCGATCCTGTCCGCTTCGCCGAGGAAGAAGGGGAAGCAGGTCCCCTCTATCTCTGGGTGGGCGTCATTCCTAGGTCTCTCTCCCTCGAGGTCGCCAAGGCCGCAGCCGTCGGCTGCAAGAAGATCCTCGCCGCCGCTCAGTTCCCTCACGTCGAGATCGCTTTCAGGGAGTCCGTCTTCACCCGATCCGCTGGTCCACAGCTTCTCAACCATGTCATCTCCGTAGACCCCACCGCTGACATCCGTAGCCCCTTCACTGGCACTCTCGGTGTTCAGATCGCTCCCCGAAACACTCCTCACTTCGAGGGCACCGGTGCTCTGTACCTCTGCGAGGGCGGCCAAAGCAATCGGGTCTTCCTCCTGACCACCCGCCACGTCGCTCTCCCGCCGAGCGTACACCGCAATGAGCTCTATGAGCGCAAGAGGACCAGCCAGCCTCGTCATGAGGTTCTCATCCTCGGCAGCAAAGCGTACCCAGACACCCTCGAGGCCATGATGGCTGACATCGGGCGCGAGCTTATCTTTGCCGATCACTACAACAGGGAGCTTGCTGCGTTAGGGGAAGCCGTTGAGGGCGAGGACGCCACGGTAGCTGAGGCGCGCCAGGAGTTTAAAGGCAAGTTGGCAAAGGCGGAGAAGACGATCATGACCGTAAACGCGTTCCACAGTGACATTACCAAGTACTGGAGCACAGCGAGCCAGCGCGTGATCGGTCACGTCATCTATGCCCCTCCTATTTCCGTCGGTACCGGCCCCAAGCCATTCACCGAAGATTGGGCTTTGATCGAACTCAACCGCGACAAGATTGATTGGAATAATTTCAAGGGCAACGCCGTGTATCTCGGTCCGTCCCGATCTATCTTACAGAAGTCATCTAGTCATACTATTATATCCAGGAAACAAGATTTCAGCCCCTGACTTTGTCCTCAAGATGCACCCTCACCCTGAGGGCCGCTCCGCCTTCAAGTATCCGGTTGGCGGTCTCCTGCATGTTAAGGGCATCGTCAAGGAGGAAATATCCCAGCCGACCTTACTCGACGCAAATGGAGAGGAGTGCCTTATCGTTATCAAAAACGGTAAGAGCACTGGTGTCACCATTGGTCTCGGATCCGATATAGAGTCCTTCCTCCGAGTGTACGACGAGTACGGCATTAAGTCGACATCGATGGAGATTGCCATCCACCCCTACAACCACAAGGACGGTGCATTCTCCGCCCCTGGGTCCATTGTCGTTGATGGGCTGGGACGTATCATCGGCCTGCTTACCGGCGGTTCCGGCACGACTGGCTCTACAGACGTGACCTACGTGACGCCGTATTCCTGGGTCGAGGAGCAAATCAAGAAGGCGTTCCCCGACTCCTACCTCTACCCGATCAAGGGGTAGGTTGCGACATCAACACCATGACATCGGCGAGGCTGGCGAGGCGTCTCGTTACTTTTCCACCTATGCGACTTCTTCTCTTTCCGTCACACTCCTTTATCTATCAGTTGTCGCTGCCGACGTGGTGGACTATTGTTAGGTTCGTCTCTTTCTTTTCCTCGCATTGACGACTTTGACGTCTTAGGCCCTAGCATAGCGGACTCGTTTTTTGCTTTCCTTTTTTTCGTACAACTGACGGTTTTTTACTAATGGTGTAGGCCCCAGACTCGTCAGCTTGTCTCGTTTCCTTCCTCCCTTCGCGCAACTGATGGCCTTGACGTCCAGGTCCCAGACGACTAGCTGGACTGCCGGACAAACTCGTGACCTTCGAGTGGCGTCTCCTGGGCATATGCGGACATTCGATTAATTGGTCCTTGTACGGTAGCATCTCGTTTTCTCTCGGACAGTCGCAACGTAACTTTGTATAATCACCCTCGATCGCTTGTATGAACCTTGTATCTTGAATTGATTTCGTGTTTGAATTGCGCGCGATAAACCAAGGTTCAATACCTAGGTAGAGTCGACTTGGGCACTTGGTACTCTGGCGCTACGTAGTGCTTGTCTCTCTTCTCGCTCACCACTTCACCGTCGCGACTAAAACTCCAGTTCTTAACTTCGTCTTACGACTTCACCCTATAATAAGTACCATCGTTTGCGGGACTTCGGACACCGAAGCTAACGAGATTACGGCTAAGGTCTTGGAATACTATCTCAGACAAGGATCTATTTACGTCGCCCGACTAAACTCGACTAAGACGATAACCGATACGTCGAAACCACGTCCTTTTCGGCAACAAGTTCGGCACTTCTCCACCAAGCTAGGACGACTACATCTCTATTCATGACTCGATGACCCGACGACCCCGTACGTATCGGCCGGTCTCTTCGGTACTAGATATTATGCACGTCGATTTGATAGGAGCTAGTTTTAGCAATGACGAAGTCCTTCGTATACTACCAACTTCGCTCGTACGACGACGTTTGTACAACGTCGCTCTAGCCCTTGTTACTAATAAAGTATCAGGTCTTTCTGAATATCGTATACGCCTAACGACATCGACTAACGATATTCTTCGTGTGAGGCGGGCCTACCGAACGACCTCCACCCACCTCTTAGCCGCAGAGCAGCTAGTAGTACTTCGCCAGCCCTGGTCCTTCCTCCACCATACAATGATTCAAGGCCATTGCAACCAGCTTATCGGAGCCTAACACTTCGGGTATACTACGCGGGCGTCGAGCTTTAGCTGAATCAGCCAACCGTTTTGCGTTGCTCTACACTAGAGGGTCCCCCAACAAGGGCCCTGCCCTTGGCCCTACGAGTTTGCAGTAGTCCCTGGATGAAGTGGGGGCCCGCTGTTGCGGCTGGTTATGTGAACAGAGGTGTGGAAATATTGTCATTCAGAATGAACTGAACAGCGCTGGAGGGGAGAATTGCACATGAAGGGGTGGCCGCATCAGAATCTGCAGAACATCCAGACACCCTAAGTGGATCCCACACCCATCGCAGGGACTTGAGCGTCTGGATCATAATATATAGGGAGGTCGAGCTGAAAAAAAAAAGAAGCCACGAGTGCCGCAACAATATCACGGTGGGCCTATTAGGCCCAGATCTCTTTTGCGTTGCGGTTGGAACTGGTATCGATGTTAGCGGCAAGATCGGCACAAACTGATGAATGCTATTTGGATTTTATATATGTTGAGAAGGAACTGGGAAAGAGTTGTTGATGAGCTCCATTCATTGGAAGATAGAGCGCATTCATTCCACGGGCGGTCAAACTCGAGAGCTGTTTGCTCATGGCGTGAAAAGCACCAGCTGATGTACCTCTGTGGGCTGTCCTACCTTTATCCTCGTTTGATGATAGGTGTCACGTCGCAATCGTGTCATGACGAGACGCTCAGCAGATATACGTGAATTTGATTGTCATTATTGTCATACATGGATCACACAACGATAACGGATAACAACGCACCCCCCAAGCAAGCGGGCCGGGGCCATTCGGATTTACATGCATTGTTCATTGCGATCCGGAATAGTCCGCATGGTATCTATCATCCGAGGCCGCGCAACTGTTGTAGGACCACATGTATGTACACGTTCCCGAGAGGAAGCTATACCCGGCCCATGTTCGCGGTGGTTGGGCTAGATGAAGGAATCAGTGGTGCTTCCGTGTGCGGCCATCATCAAGCTAGGATACTCCGGTTACGTGTCGGGTTACCCGCGGCTGATAGCCACGGCATTGCATCACGTGCCCTTCATCAATACTTAACTCATGCGAGAATTACACCGGTTCGATCTTCCCTATCTACTTAATACCAGCTGATAACTATATAGCTCCATTTCCCGTCTGCGCGATATCATTGGCTGCAAGAAGCCAAAGCAAAAGGGGGCAAAAAGTCAAAGGATTTGCTGCCACAAATGACACTGCCTTACATAAACATCATGATCCAACTACTTAACCCCCCATCGAATCAGTCAACCTCATCTCCCTTTTACCCTAGTTCCAAGCCATGTCGGACGTCGACTTCCTCCGTTCCAAGTTTCGTTTCTACCCTGACTTCCCCAAAAAGGTGTGTGTCATTTATTCTCTTGTCACCACAATCGCCGCTATCTCTTTCACACCCGCTGCCCCCTAAGTCCCTCCTGCAAACGTTTTACATGATTTTTTTGCTGAACGAGTAATTTGAAATAATAACCAGGGTGTAGCCTTCGCCGATTTCCTTCCAATCCTTCAAGATCCGATCGCATTCGAAACCCTTATCACCCATATCACCCACCACATCACCTCTCATACCATTCCTAGCATCTCCTCCTCTTCTACCAAGGGAAAGCCCCCTTCATATCATCCCAACGGAAACGGTGTTGTCCGCAATGGTCATCCTCACGCCAACGGCGTAACCATCACCAGTGGAATAACACATCCCACCACCAACAACAGCAAGAAAATAGACGTGATAGTGGCATTAGACGCCCGTGGATTCTTACTGGGACCCATCATAGCTCTCAGACTGGGCGCTTCTTTCGTTCCCGTTCGTAAGAAGGGCAAATTACCTGGCGAAACTATTAGCGTGGTTTATCAGAAGGAATATGGCACGGTGAGTGTGTTTGTGGACTTTCCGTGGTGTTCTTGAAGAAGAAATTGACCGATGAGGACGGATTTATTTTTGGTATTTTTTTGTTTTAGGATTCATTTGATATTCAGGTTGGAGCTATCAAAGAAGGTGACAATGTTATCGTTATCGATGACGTCCTTGCAACCGGTTCGTCTTCCTTTTCTTTCTTCCTCGCTCCTCACTGATTCTCTCTTCCCACGGTCATACATTCATGCACAACCCACACCTTCCACAATCGTACATTCACCGCACACGCACACGCACACGCACATATACATATACAACCAGGCGGCTCAGCAAAAGCAGCCGGTGACCTTATAAGTGCCTGTGGAGGCAAAACAGTCGAGTACATCTTCGTCATCTATGCCGCTTTCTTGAAGGGGCATGAGAAACTTGATGCCCCTGTCTATAACATCATCGAGGTGAATGAATGAACGAACGAGAATCTCGGAAAGCCACCCAGGGGCGTATCTACGTGGTCCGGAGGAGAAAGGCCACGATATATAGCGGTATATAGGGAGAGAAGATCATTGTTTTTTTTTTGTTATTTATGATATGATGTTGCTCTTTGATGGACTTGGGAGTACGTCTTTGCCGTAGGGGATTGATCAGGGTTAACGACAATATCGTTTGGTTGTGGAGGCACTTATACACATGTCCTAGTCGTCTTGCTTTTTTTTTCTCTCATCCCATCACGAGAAGTTGCTGGATGTAATGTACAAGTTATTGTAAGCTAAAAGTGACGCCGACTTCTGTCGAATTCTTTTTTTGTCATGAATCAGCCGTATATTATGCAGTCAGTCAATCGCGATCGTGTGCGAAGAGCTTATGTACAATTGTGGCTGTTGGTGAAGCCTAATTGACAATGTGATGCCAGCACCGATCGTGCTTCTAGAACTCGCGAAATTCGAGGGTCGCTCGATTTGCTCGCATGCATGTGTATCTGACGTCTTGAGACAATATAAGCACTTCCCATGGATGCATGCACACGCAGATGACTGTACTATTAAGAATGAGACCCGGGAAAAGAAAATATTATATAATATTATCGAAGGACTATCGTATTCCGTAAAGCAAGCCCATTGATGTATAACTGAACGGGAGGTGGTGGTGTTGAATTCGCAGAACCAGACTCATGAGCCTTCTTCTTCCCTCCATCATCGTCATCACCATCATCACCATCATTCACTTTCTTCTTCTTCTTCCCCGTGGTGTTTTCATCCTGTTTGATAACGTCCTCGACTCTCTTGACTTCCACGATTACGTCCCACCCCTCGCCGTCGTTCGCATTCACACTCCTCTCCTCCGCGACGCCCAACATTTCATCCATAACGCTTCCATCATCCCGACCAACCACCACAATGCTCACATCCCAAAGTTCCCTCCTAGCCAATTCCTCATCTGATTTATCTATGCTAGGATTGATTAACTCTCCATCGTCTGCATCCATCTGTCCTCCCCCCGAACCCCTGGTTCCACTGGCTCTCCCATCACTGCTCCCGCTACTGCCAGGACCAGCTTCACTCTCGCTCGGCTCACGCTTTCGTGAGTCATTCCAAACGATCACCCCGGCAAAGTGCGCCTTTTTAGCTAGGATGAGTTTTTGAAGAAAAGCGCATTCCCCTCGTCGGATGAAGACGACGACGGGTAAGAGATGAGCTGAGAGCTCTGATGATGATGGCGAAGGGAAAGTGGAAGAGGGGCATGATGATGAGGGTGTGGGGGTAGGCAGTGAGGAAAGCGTCGATGACGTTACATTTTCTTGTGCTTGCCCCCCTGAACGAACAGGGGGTGAATACCAGCGTATGAAGTCTCGAGGGTAGTCATGGCATCCATACGGATTGTCCACCGGTGCACGAACAACACGTACGGCACCATTAAACGGCGAGTCGGCGCTAAAGATAAGGGGATCCGGCATCGTCATCCGCGTCTGCTGTGACGTTTCACCCGATGCTGACTCCGACTCTAGGGGCTCTGAAAGGGGAAAAGGCTGTGGAGGCAAGACTGGATTTCCTCCAAAACTAGCCGTAGCGGCCAGAGCGTCAAAGACAAAACTTTCGTTGAACCCGGCATTGGCGCTTCGGAGTGGCGCTTGAAAGTTAGAAGGCCAATGAGAAGAGGTGAGAGAGGGCGCAAAAGAAAAGTAAAGGATGATATCTGGAAGTCCGAATCGTCGAAATGATTTTGGCGAAGCTTCACTTCTCCGTAGGGTCCTGAGGATGATTGGATCGCTAATATAAACTTTCTGTCCAGTATAAACGCGATACTGTCCAACTTTAAGAGAAGAGCAAAATAAAATAACATGCACGGGCAATCAGAATCACCTTCACATATCGCAGGCAAGAAAATGAAAGACTCACGTCGAGTAATGTCATACGCTGTTCGATCGATGCGAGCTGTCACTTGCGTTCGAATTCCAGTGATGTTAAGAACCTCATATCCATCGACGACTTTGCGAATTTTATCTGGCCCAGGGAAGCGATCTTCTGAAACAAGGCCTCCATCAGATGAGAGAATCCATTCGTGTACCTGTTATCGTCAAATAACAAAACGAAATAATCAGTCTCCAATCCATCAGTCAGGGGGAAACAGGTTGGGAAATCGTGTTCCAAGTATTCATACTAGAAAAGACTCACGTACTCCTCGACCCTTGGAACTTCACACCATCCATTCTCATCCCACCACGCCTTATCCTCCTCTGCGATCACAGCGAATGGATTTTTGTCCCCCGAAGTCTTGCTCCAAGACAACTTATCATAAGCATCAGGAGAAACAACGATACCAGCCAATAATCTTGCATATTCGAAATCGGGTCGTTCGCGCACGGATCCTATGAGACCTCCGAGGTCTCCCAAATGAGAGCCACCTTGGCGTGAGAACGTGACGAGGGGAGGACTGTATGCCGGGCATATCGAGTGTGAAGAACGGTGAAGTGCAGGTTGAATGGGGGGAGGTTGACGGAAATACATATTATCGAGGAACAAGACGTGTCCTTCTGTAGTGAAAACAAAATTACGAAAATCCTTGTTGAACATATTATCCTCGTCGAAAAGAAGGTAAAGATACTTGAAGCAATCGATCAGATGGGAAGTTAATTAAGACTAAAATTAGCAACACTCGCTTTCAACGATTCGGAGAGGGCAAAAGACTCCATCCGATCTTCATGTGCTCCAGTCAAAACATTAGAGACGGTCGCCAATCCACAGGGTACCTTCGTTCGGCGAATAAAATCCTCAAGAATACGGGCTCCAACATCTAGATAAAATGAGTCCCGTGTCGCCTGTGAGACCAAGATCAGTTCCAGCCGCCATTTCATTAGATGAACAAACTCACTCGGTACAAGAAGTACGTGCTTTCAATGAATTCTATTGAAGCACCTCAACAAAGAACCCAAGACCTCAAGGACAAACGTACCCGGTCGTAGGGGGTACCCCAAGCTGATGCCTTCACGTGTCATGACGTTAAACGTTTCAGGCATTCCGCTAAAACGCTTCCATAGGTTCCAATCTAAGATGCTAATCAGAGGGGACGCCAAACACTGGAAAAAAGCGAGGCGTACATGCCATGTGGGATTTAATCGCACTCTCTACGTCGCCGGCTAGCACCTAGCCCTTAGGTCAGACAGGGCGCGTAATTCTAGGCAGGGACCCAATTCCTTTACCTGGAGACCAGGCCAAAATGCTCCTAGCGAATCAATCCAAGTGGTAGCCAACTCTCCGGTCTCCATAGAAACCGTACGATACTGCCAAGATTCAAAGTTTCAGTGCGTAACTCGCGCCATAATGACGGGGATGCGGCTTACCCAGAAACCATCCGCCCCTCTGGAGTGTTTCATAAGTGGTCCGTACGAGTCATTCCAGACGTCCAAATAACGGTTTTCCCCCGTAAGCACGTACATCTTCAAGGCATATCTTGGGGACGCCACAATCGAACCGAGACATGGGCATGGCAAAGGGAAAGGTACCTACTCATAAAAAGAATCGATACCAGCCCCGATACCGCTATTTCCGGGATTAAGCCATCTCTGCCCTTCTATGATTAATAATTCTTGAGATCTCCAAGAGCACTTACACCTGATATAAGATCAATAGTGTTTCCGATGAGGTCCAATTGTGAACGACGATTCCATATTGCAAAAAAAGATTTAACAGCTGCATCCTCAAATCTCGGGTCCCCAGTCAGCCGACTCAATGTTGTAAATTCTAACAGCAATGAACCTGCACCAGCAGAGCCTGATGGAGGACAAGATATTACCTCGTTCAGGCTTTAGTAAAGGGATGGGCGGACGGCTTACAAGTCTCGGTGGTTTCTCCCGCCGGAACGCCTCTTCGAAGATTTACCTGTGGGATATATAGAAGGGTTTTGGCCTGAATTCACAGCATTATGGCTCACCCTAGCATATGGGATTCCTGTAGGTGTATCGAAGGCCTGCAGCAGCCTTTCTCCCAAATCGTAGGCCAGTGAGAGGAGTTGATTATCATATCCAGGTATTGCAAATCCATAATTAGGCTCAACACTAAATATGTGAGCACTGAGGAGTCCTCCTAGCACCCTTATGGTTGTCTCGAATACTTGAGGTTTGGTATCCACGTCAAACGATACATGAGAAATTGTGTTCCAGACAGCGTTGTTAAATCCAGTACGATTATTGAGGATTAAGAAGGAGTCCAGGTTATCGATCAAGGTGACAGAACAGTTTGCAAGAACATCGTTGAAATGGATGGCGGTTCTGCATGTAGAATGTAATGAGCGGTGCTGAGATAATGAGAACCTTATGGTCCGACTAACGGGTCAAACCAGTCTGGCCCCTGACCCGTGCATGTCAGTGGCTTCAGTTCGTCAAGAGGGAAAGCTTCATTCGATTTAGCACGCAGCAGGCATAAAACAGTGTAAGCACAAACCATGGTGCATGTATGAATCAAACCCATGATTCCATAATGATCTAGTGAGCTCGCTGAAAGCAAAGATAATTCCAAGACCATTCGATCGAAAGTAACGGAACGCTTACCGAGCCTCCAACTTGCGTTCGGTCGTCCATCCACGTGAACGAGATTCGTGCACAGAACCAGAAACACTAAGTGTCAAAAGAGAGAGACAGAATGCGGAAATACTCCATCTCATATTCTGCTGTTGCTAACAATTGCAGGACAAGGCGCTGTGTTGGAAGGAGTGTGCGTGACCAGATATACAGTCTTGGAAGTAGGAAGGAGCGCTTAAGGTCCTGTTTTCTCCGGGGAGCGTTTACGAGGAGCTGGTATTTTGTGCAACAAGTAGTAGAGAAATCGCTCGCCGTCGAAGGGCGGCTCTGCACCCTCTCAACAACTATCAACAAGACATTAGTCATCATCATCGCCACCTCCGTTGTCTTCGTGAATAAAAACTGAATTGTTTGTTCTCTTCCGAAGCGATGGACATCAGCAGAGATATTGGGACGTATATGCTTCAGGGATGGGTGAGAATCTCGCATTGTTGTAGTATCGACTTTGTTTAACTGTATCACTCTCTAGATTTTGACAAATGATGCCTGTCCCAAATGTATTTACCCCCTCATGCGGTCCCCAGCTGCGCGCTCCCCACCGGAAACGTTCTGCGTTAATTGTGATGGAGGACCCACCGGGAGCTCAAGTAGGTTATAGGAGTCTTCCCCGTGTTGCGTCTGTCATTCAAAGACGGGTTGTGGTCAGCCAAGGGAGAAAAAACCTACACTAGCCAACCAATAATTGCTCAAGCATCAGAAGAGGCTTCTGCGCATACTGAATCGGCATCAAGCAGTAGTCATCGGTCGCGTGCGTCTACCCCTCCCACAGAAGTATCTGAACCTCCACACAATGCCGGGGATGATTTCGATCCACTGCCACCACCTTCAGAAGAAGTTCTTCAGCGTAGGGCCCAATCGGATTATGCTTCCGCAGAAATTGGAAAACTCCTTTTGAGAGGATATGCAATGCTTGCGGACGAATGTCCTAATCTGACGTGCTATGGTGTGCCACTTGTGCGGCCGCCCAAAACCCCAGACGGTGGACCAAGTGCCAATAAGGTATGAAGCGAAATGAACTCCTTGACTTTCTTCATGTTCGTCAACATCTCTAACAGGAATGCGTTGTCTGTCGCTCCGTTTATGTATATGGCTCTGACGGTAGGAGCCTAGTCGCTGCCACAGTACCCATTCCGCAAAACCTGGTCGCGAACTCCAATGCCTCCATCCAACCCCTTTCGAGGGCGCTAGCTGAGGGAATAACCCAGTCAAAGGAGGTCACTTCAGCAGTATGTAGCCCTACATCTAATGAGGGTTTAAATGAACTCATGGCCATCGAGGATGCCCCAAGCACACAAGCGGCTTTCAATGACGCTTCTCTGCAAGTCTCAGACCCACTGCAGCAGACACTGCTCGCGTTGGAGCACTCGTTGACCGTTTTAGCCTCGCGGATGCGTGAACTTGCGTCACCCCCTGCTCTAACAAATCTCAACACAGCCGCAATGACGGATGTCGCTAAGACAATGGATTCTGTTTTAAGCGCTTTGAATAAGGCAAAGCAATTGAAGTAGGCACTCTGGGTTTGCCTTTATACTGCTTCGAAATCAATTGAATTGCATAACCAAAACATGCATGAAGTTCGCCGTTGACGCGCGGCTCCAAAGCGCAACCAGTAACCCCCCCGTAGAGAGAGAGGAGTGGCATAGACACCACACCCCCACGCACTCAGACACGACTTCAAACCAGATATCACAACCCGTCATCCCGACCACACCAACCTTGACGACTGGCCGCACTGCCACGTACAAGTAACAAAATAGAGTACAACAACAACAACGCGCGCTTCCAAAGCGCCCGCTTTGTTAATTAAGCCAGTGGCTAGAGCAAGTGTTTGGGAAGACAAAGCAAAGAATGCTATGACAAGCCATCTTAGCCTAGTTGGGGAAGAGTTACCGTGACAAGCAAAGCGCAGCCTCAACGACCACAAAGCTGCACTGAATTACTCTCTATTCATGCTCTCCCTCCCTAGCTTCAGGGGCTGACTGCGGCTAGAGCTTGAGGTTCTTTCGGGACAATGATAAGAGGCTGGTCTGCTGTCCGGATTCTCCCCAGTGAGCTTAGGTCCCCCCCTGGAATCCCCATTCGTTTCGCCACCCATTCTCCCTCGAAAATGCTAACAAAGTAAGCAGAGTCTACTGCTCTACCTTGAGGCGTGCATTTCGCTAAGTGTCTTCGCCTCGAAGTCAGAGGATCGCGCTGCTTGAGAGCATCCCGTCCTTACCAATTTTAAGAGATTCTACGATCTCCAACCGCGTATTCACAGACAAATCATTTTTGGGGAAGCCTCATTCAAGCTTCGAGGATGATGCAGATGTCTTCCCGGACAACGAGACGTTTGAGCATCTGGGAGACGCTATCTTGGGCTATTGTGTCACAAAACTCATCAGAAGCGTTTATCCCAAACTGAACCCTGGCGGTGCAACCGTGCGTAAATATTCCCCTTCAAACACCGCATATCCTGAACTATGGTGTATCAGATTGTGCGTTCTCGCATCGTGGAGAACCGAAATTTAGCCGCAATAGCCAAAGCATACCACATGGACGAACGGCTCACAGTGAGCACCGCACAACCTTCTATTAAGAACCACGATCGAGCATTGGGTATGATGGTTACACCTTCCCCCTCGTTGGAACTAAAATGCCCTTCCAGCTAGAGCCATCGAGGCCTTCGTAGGTGGATTGCATGAGGAGCAAGGTCTAGCCGCCGTGGAAACCTGGATTTGGGCATTGTTTTTGCCATTCGTGCGAACCGAATACGAAATCCTTCGTGAGGAGCTGCAGGTTCAGGGCAACGCTCCCCCATCATATGACGGCGGGAAACACCAACAATGCGATGCACGTAGCGAGACTTCCTCGAGTAGCTCCACCGTCATGCCTCCTGAAACCCTTCAAGCACGAAATGAAGCGACTGTTGCATTGGCTGAGTTGAATGAGAAACTAATCCAAATGAAAATCGCCGATAGAATCAGATGGTCTGAAGATAATTTGGCACCTGGGCAGAACCCTACCTTTCCAATTTGGAAGCTTGTTGTGCGATACAACGATGATGTAGTTGGCGAGGCGCGGGCGACCAGGAAAAAGGAGGCGAAGAACTTGGCGGCCTTTGCGGCTCTCAGGAACCTCCGAGTGAAGGGGGTTCTGCGGTAAAGCACCAGAGTATGTAAAAGAGGGTCTCTGTATTTGTCTGCGGTGTCTCAGTGTACTTCCTCCATTGCAATGACTACATTTTTCCATCAATGACACTGGGATCAATTGGCGATGATTTGCCAAATCGCCCAGCGTGATGCGTTCCAGCAGTCTGGAGCAGTGGTCGTGTGTTCGAGGCCACGCTCGCGTTCTAGTGGAATCCCAATGACTGGTTGATAAATTTGACCGATAGACTGCAGGTGCCTGGTGTTTAGATGTTCCAGCTGGGTATTTCACTATGCAGTAACCCCTATCGATTGGCAATGGTACTGCTGTGTAACGCATTCTAGCCCATTCCGCAGGGAGTGTCCGACAAAGAGCAGCAATGCATCTCGAACTGTATCACTACATTACCGCCGCCCTGATTGAACACTAACCGATTTGGGACATGCCTGATTTTGGCTCAGCTTGGAGATCTGGGACATCAACAGAGGACGTACATTCATGGCTCGTCATATGGAACATGGTGGCACGGGCTAGGAGCGAAGCATTCGGTTCAGGAGGCGGTGACATGCCCTATTCTGGGAATTCCGCGGTGACCACTGCTGCCGGGTCGATGAATGGATTCACCACGGTGAATCTCGCTGTTGTACTGGATCTCGGTACCGATCGGCTGAACCCACCCAGTGATTGGCTTGCAACAGCCCCCTAATCCGATAACGGCCACCCACACGCATAAAAAGGACTCGTCTTCTTTGAGCCTTCCCCAAAGATCCTCTGCTCTTCCGTGCTGGTCAATTTCAAGATGATCCTCGAGTATGCGAAATAGCTCACAATGCGGATTCCAGAACTGACGGTGCACCTAACGACAGTGATGTAACAGAACTGATAAAGGACCTTCCGCGGTTGCCTGCGTTGTGGGATCCAGAACACGCCGGACGGGTCTTTAGAGACTCATCATCCGTTATCCGGTCGCGTTCCCCACTCGAAGACGATAGGGCTGAGTGTGAAAGGGACAACAAATCCCTCGCAATTATTGGGAGTGCGACACTGCACTACTGTACAGTGACTGAAATAGTGAGAAGCTACCCAAACCTCCTTCCGCGAGGCATAGAGGTTCGCTTAATGGTCTTTCATCTACGCTGATACTAACATGAATTTAAGACGATTCATTCTCAAGTCACTGGCGACAAAAACCTTCTCCAAATAGCCAAAGGATACAAACTTGGGGATAGGCTGTGTGTCAACGCGGCTCATCCCCACATTAAGGAGCATGAAAACGCATTGGGTTCGTAAGAAAACAGCCGAAGCACTGGCCGTGGTTTTGAGATTAAAATATTCCGTCTGTAGTTAATGCGCTGAAGGCGTACGTAGGAGGCCTCCACCAGCAAGGAGGAGAAGCAGCCCTCGAATGGGTGAGGAAACTTCTAGGCCCCTTCATAAGGGTTGCACATTCCCGCATTTCCCATGAAAGAGACCAAGAACTTCCCCAGTATTCTCCATCAAGTCAAGACTTTCCCCGTCCGGGCACTTCGACTGAGGGTTTTCCGTCTTCCCCTGGGGAATTGAGCGGCGCGTCAACCGGACGTGAGGGTATAGTACCAAACGGCATGTTGAGCCAGTTGAACGAGGCGCTGGCAAGGCGCGGGATAGCTCTCGGCATGCTGAGATGGGAGGACCAGATGCAGACCATCGTTCACAGCCAGAGCCCATCTTCCGTTATCTGGTCAGTGACTGGCCATTACGGCGGAGCGCAGATAGCGGAAGGCCAAGGAACGACAAAGAAAGATGCTAGGAATAAAGCTGCCGGCATGGCTTTGAGGACACTTAAACAGAGGGGGATATTAAACTAGTCACTCTGTTGAATCTCGACTGGTCGCCTCGTGGATTGAGTTTGTAGTCCATATTTTATTTTGTAGACGCCAGTTATGTATTGTAGTTTTCTATGATCCCAAAGAGTGTTTTTCATGGTTGGAACACAAACAGGTGCGAAGAGCGATCGGTGCAGTTGTTTATGAATATTTGGTCCGAGGACGCGGCAGGCGCGTGTTGGTGCTCGGGGTGCCATGCAAGCCACATGCAACACTGCCGTGGATCAAGTCCTTAGTATCTAGAGCACTGCCAAATCTGCCAACTGGAGGATATGCCACCGTCACCGACCCCACCATTTGGGCTCTTTAAATCCAAATCTAAAGAATTTCCTGAAATCCGCTCTAGATCGGTAAACTTCCAACCGGAGGAGCAGATGGCTGCATACGGTGCCACACATCCTCAAGAAGAGGATTATTGGTTGCAACATCAGGAGGGACCTTCCCCTGTCCAATTACAATATGATCCTATGCATGAGTTTCCCCAGGAGCGCCAGTTGCAGCCCAATCCAGGCCCAGCAATAGTATATCAGCCGAGTGAACGTACTGGATCCCAGCCTGGGTCCCCCACTACTTCTACTGCTTCTCGGCGTTCCAAGCTTTCCAAAAGATCTCCTCGGAATGGAGCGTCCGTCGTCCACGCGGGAGCTCAAGTGGAAAGTTCAGCTGGTCGAACCCCCCCTCACCTGCGAAGCCCACATAGCGATTCGGGGACTCTTCCAGGTAGTCCGGTGGGATTGGGCCATCCCTCAGGTGTTCATCAAGTATATATGAACCCAGCTCCACCGACAACCATATCCATCATCGACGCGCCATCCATGACTCCCACTCCTTCCCCTCCGCCCCCTCCACCGAAACGCAAAAGCAGCCTAAAGAGGCTTTTTATGCCTACCTGGTCCCGCACTTCCCTCCCTGAGACTCGGAATGTAGGGGGTGAAACAGATACCCCTGCTGTTGGGGCACAACGACCATTTGTAGAGCCCGTTCCGGTCTCCATGCCCATCCAACCGAAGCGGAAAGGGAGCCTTGCGGGGCGCCTTTTTCGAAATCGATCCAGATCCTTAGTCACGGAACCCCCGGATCCACAAGAGGAAGTCGTAACAATCCCTTCGAGGCAAGAATCGTACGTGGCCCCCAATCCGCCCGAGAGAAAGCGTAGCTTCGGTCAGGGCCTCTTCCGAAGTCGATCCCGCACCGCTGCGGTGGAAACTGAGGATGCACCGTCTGTGTATTCGAGGGGCGAATCTCCGACGACCCAATCTGTTGGGTCGAAGAAGCGTTTTGGCATATTTAGGAAGACATCTCGCGATATGCCTGCCACTCCTGAGGCTGAGACTTTCCATCCATCAGGAAGCGCTGTGTTTTTGGGTAATGTTCCGACTCGGAGTTCACTTGATGACGGAGCTCCAGACTCCGCGAGCGCCAGCACTCCAAAACGAAGCAGGAATCCTTTCAATATATTTCGAAAGAAGTCGACTGATTCAAGTCGCGGAAGTGTAGAAGAATATGCGCCTGAGAGGGCAGAATCTTTCCCTCCACAGGAGGGAGTCACACCTACCTCGGGCACTTTCCAAGATATGGATGCCCCAGCTCCCATAGTGTCGAGGCCTAAGCCGAAAAGGTCTTGGACGGACAGACTCTTGGGTAGGAATAAAGTGGGTCACATCTACCTACTCCTGGTAGAGACTTATTTGGTTCGATAGGCTCCCAGAATCTTCTCTGTTGTGCACGAGGAACCAGAAGAAATGCTACCAGAGGACCAACCTCCACTGTCACCACAGGTCGAGGTGAGGATGGCACTCATAGAATTCATTGTTTTTCTGACTGTGTCACAGCGACAACTCCTTACCCTTGATCCAGCTCATCAAGCTGACGTGACGCAATATCCGTCAGCTTTATCTGCTGTAAGCTGTAGTGACATTCTAATGGCGCAGTCACACTAAATACGTCACATTCAGGGAGAAGAGCCCCCCCCAGTCGTCGACTTAGTGGCACCACGCGGCACCACTTCTCCACGGCATCGCTCGGTATATGCTCAACTTTATTGCCAGGGTCGAGCCATCTTACATATTTGCACTAGCCACAGCCTACCTATCCTGATGGGTATCACCAATCATTCCCAGAGCGAGCCTACCCACCCGTGAGTACTCATCCCTTCTGTTGAGTTACCGCTGATAAATTCGCAGAAATCTCCCCCAGCGTCTATCCTCCAGACCAGCGTCACGCGACGCGCGGAGCCCCCGGGAATTACTCATGTCATGGAGGCGCCAAGGTCCACAACTGGACCGGTTTACCATGTATATCCATACGCAAGTAATACTCCACAGGACCCCGTCAGTGCTACACCAGGGCATCCTGTCAATGCCGGGAACTGGCGAGTTTCAGTGAGAGGAGGAGACGAGGATGATCGAGAACTATCCCAGACCTATCCATACACTGCTGGTCAGGAGGTCGGCGGGCAATCTCAACACAACCCTTCAACGATGACAAAGGTCCGGAGTGGAGCTCAGGTTGTATTACAGCCAGGCCAGGTGTGTGGCATTTTTATTTCATGGTATATTTGCATAGTGAAGATCAAGTAGGAATATGAACTCCCCGCGGACGGAAACGCTGTATTAGTGGTTCAAGAAGGCATGGACCTCGAGGGAAGCCTTTGTCGTACTCGTTTACGTGCCTCCCTAACTTCAGTTCCAGGTTAAGGATCCTGTCACTGGCGAGTTTGTTCCATACAATGAGGAATACATCGCAAGACAAGTCGATAGTAGGCGCGCTGCGTATGAGGAAACTTATTTCATCCCTCCGGGTAAAATTGTCGAATTCCAGGACGAAGAGGGCAACATCCTGTATCGGTAAGTGATGATGTTCAGTTCGGACGTGTCTTGATTGTGTCTCCATGGCTCTAGATCAGGGGGAGCTGACCGTCGCAGTGGCATTCACGATCTGGGCAATGGTATCCAGGGTGCCTATGATCCTGATGGTGCTTATGTTCTACATGTATGAGATTGGGCTGTGCCACATTTCCTCTTACGCCATTATTTTGGCGGGTTCTCGTCGTCATTGTCGGCTAATGCGAGATTTTCCTTTCTAGCTTGATGGCGACACGATAATGATGGGTGATCAGCGCAATCGTACAGCTGCAAAGTTCGTCATCATAATGATCTCATGGCAAAGCGATTGCGTACGACCATGATTGGATTTGTAGGCCTGCCAGATCGCCAACACGTGCCAACCTCGATGGCAGCTTATATGGGGATGATGCAGGCGGATCTGAGTTTTCGCCTCGTGCCACAGAGTATCGCGCATCTGCCGCACCACCATCTCCCCCGGAATCGTTCCGTCATCCGGCTTCTCCCACTGCTGGATCATATCGTCCAGAAAAATCCCCGCCCCCGGAATCCATCCGATCTGGAAATTCCTCTCCACATTACGCGCCAACATATGACACCCAACAAACCCCCAATACAATTCGGTCTCCGTCTCAATCCTTGAGAGTCCCTGGATCCCCACGCTCCGATCGGTCGTTACATTCACAAGCCGTTGAGCTTATCGAGGGTCTTCACATGCTCCTTGAGAAGAATGAGCACTGGAAGCCCCATGGTCCGATGGATGTTAGGCTTTTTTCTGTTCCCGTGTCTCAAACTGGCCTCATGTATATTTCAGTATGCTCGCTCCGTACGGAAGTGGAATATCGGTCATTCTCGCCATTGCCCTATGTCCTGCCATGACGGTTCCCTGTTCCATCGTATGCCGCAGGAAGGACTTTCTCTTGATCGAAGCGTAGCAGGTGCCCCTCCTGGTGGCGTTCAAGGGTCCCAGCTTACGGCAGACGATGTGCAGAATGGTAGGCGAATTATACTCTTGTTGACGTATGCTCCTAATATTTGTCTGTGTTTGCCAAGATTTGGAATACGTTGTGCCCGTAGTGGTCGGGACCCCTGGCCAAATAGTGCGTCTGGATTTCGACACAGTAAAAACGTCCCGATCAGAGTGGCGAGAAGTACACTGATCTTCATTGCCTTCGTCAGGGCAGTTCCGATCTTTGGGTGTGGAGTACGCACTTGCACGCGTCAACGAGTAATCTCAAGAGTCATCGTGTTTACGACCCCCGCAAGAGCTCGACTGCACGATCAATGCCTGGAATGACTTGGAAAATCTCCTACGGTGATGGGAGTAACGCAAGTTAGTCGATTCGTTCACTTTGCGTGCCGTTCGTACTGACAGTAATTGCAGGTGGCATTGTCTATTCGGATGTACTCACATTTAATAAACTGACGGTTCCTAACCAAGCCATCGAGGCTGCAGATCGTTTGAGCCCCACCTTTTTGTCTGAGAATGGTTCCGACGGCTTACTTGGTCTTGCATTTCCCATGTAAGCCGTCTGATTTCATCCGCCTTAATATCACAATCACAAGCTTGAAACCCTCAAGACTCAATACAATCAAGCCACATCCACAGAAGACCCCAGTACAACACCTGATCGAACAGAAAATTATCAGTCAACCGATTTTCTGTGCCAAATTGGTGAAAGGTGGTTCAGGGAGCTACTATACTTTCGGTTACATTCCACAAAACGTTGTGGACAGGAACCGCCGCATCACCTATGTAGATGTCGACTCAAGCCATGGGTTCTGGGAGTTTCCCTGTCCACAGTTGAGAGTTGGGCAGCACACAGTGAACCAGCGCCCGGGAAATACCGCTATTGCCGACACTGGTGAGTTCTCGTCGTTCATCATTCCACACCGTTGAAGATTTACGGTGTTACGTATAGGGACTACGGTAGGTGTACGATCGCCCTCAGTATGGACTAACCACGAAGACTTCATGTCCCCAGCTTATTTTGCTTGAGGACTCGGTACTTGACGACATCTATGGTCAAATTCGTGGCGCTCGAACGGACCGATCGGGCTGGGTTCTTCCTTCAAATGCCCATTGTCCAGACGTGTCCTTCTCTATTGGCGGAAATTTCTTTTCTATCTCCGGAGAAGATTTGAAGTTCGCGGACTCCGGAAATGGCATGAGTTTTGGGGCCATCCAAAGCCGTGGCTCCAATCGACAGGATATACTAGGAGACGTGAGTGTGATCGTCAAGTACCTCGTATGGATCTTACCTAAAGTTCACGTAAACCCCAGGTATTCCTAAAACGCGTGCTCGCCGTCGTAAGTTGTTTGTCACTGCTCCCAGACGTTGTTAACTCAGGAACCTCTTGATCAGTTTGACCAGACACCAGGGCGACCACGACTCGGGCTAGGCCAAAGGTCGTTCAATGAGAGGCCCACACAGCCTCCCTCACGGCGGGGTCGTTGAGTAATGATTTTTGGGATTTTTCTAGAATAAACAAATAGCAGCGCTGCCATCTACAAAAGCGTGTATGAATGCCACCTCAGATCCATCTAGGCCTTAGGTCGATTAAGATTTAGTAATGACTATAATCTACAGTGATCCTTAAGTGAACCTGATCAATCAATGGTTGTCAAGACCAAATTCCATCTAGAAGCGACAAGTAAACAGGAGGGTGAAAAGAATGTGTCCTCTGGCGCTTAGCGAATGAAACCCGGCACCAAGAGATAATTATCAAGCAGCGAAAAAAGCACTTCAGGTGTCCAGACTGGTCAACAGACGACACCAGGATGGTTAAGGAATCCGCAGGGGTGAGGTACTGGAAATTGAGGTGAGACGGGTTCTGTACACATGTGAGCCTCTCCGGAACTGCGGGGCCAGATCGAGAGCGTTGTTACCAGCGGTGAAAGGTTGAGCGAGAAAAAGCACAACAACGCAGTGCCCAAAACGCGAAATGAAGAGTTAAGCGTCCATTATCGGAGGAATACGCGAATAGAGGTAAGAAAAAGAAACGTGCACCAAAAATAAGAAAAAGGAGAAACTTGAGTGTTCGAAACGAGTTGCTGATTTGATTGATATGTCGCGAAAAGAGAAAGCGAATAGATGCACGAACATTTGGTATGCCAAACGTCTTGAGATTGATGGAGAGTGCGCGGGTTGTGAGTAATGATGCAGAGATAATAGAAGAACAAGGGAATGAAATCAGCGGAGGTGAGACAGTGACGGGACAGGGGTAGGTAATAGTACATCGAGAGTTTGCTGCGTCGTTGTGTTGCAGTGGAAGTCAGAGGCGAGGACCCGAGCGGTATGCAGATGACGAGGACTATTGCGAAGATAGCTAGAGTTTTCAGAGTTAAAAGGAGTGTAGGTAGGGAGTGATGGTAATGCTGTGTTCATTTTGGCGGAAGTGACGAATCAAAATTCGCCGTCGTAATGAAGGGTAACGCTACTGAATGCATGGAACAAATCATCCCTGTGTTGCTTCCCAGTGGTTGGAACAAGAACCCCATCCTCAGTCACCCCTAGCTTACGCGAGCTTTTGGATTTTGGATTACCACTAGAAGTCTGGCCAGAAAACGAGATCCTCTCATTCTCCTTCTCGACTGGATCCTTAGGGTCAGCAACATAAGGGTCTTTCTTCTTGGGAATGATCTAATAAAGAAGACTGAGACAGGAGACACGATCTTCAAGACGAGACGCACAGGAGGTTGCATGTGACGCAAAAGCCCCCAGTTTAGAGGAGTGAACCACTTGTGCTGCTTAACTTCACTGGCGCCGCTTTTGCTCCCTAATCTCCGCCATTCATCCTTGTGAAGTAATCGGAGAATGATATCGCGACATTGTCTACGGCAGATGCATGAGTCCTCTGCATAACACTATAGGCTGTGAACTCACGGAGAGCCAGTTGTTGAGTCGGGAAAGCGGACCTCATTTGCCAAAACATTGGTAAACGTCGCACTCCGATCACGTCCCTTGAAGGGTGTTGTTGCGTACTAAGAAAAGATTTAGCTTCAACATGTATCAAACCCACGAACGACCCACAATCATCTCATAGATGAGGATCCCCAATGTCCACCAGTCAACAGAGGACGTATGCCCAAGGTTCTTGATGACTTCAGGAGCAATGTACTCTGCGGAGGTAATTCAGGTCTCAGGAAAAAGGGTACGGAAGAAGGGAAGATAACAAGCCTTCTGTCCCCACAAACGAGTTCGTGCGCAAATGGGCAGTACATGACTTGGTGTCAACCAGCGGTACGCCGGGCGTAACACCAGTCACAATACTCGCAGGATTCCCCCCTGGTTCACCCGAAGCTTTAGCCAAGTCGAAATCCGAAAGCATGATGTGGCCAGACTCGTGCAAAAGAATGTCTTCATAGCAAACATCAGTGTCCATCCTCATCGTCCGAAAAAGTGAATGACCTACTTTCTGGTTTAAGGTCGCGATAAATAAAACCAAGTAAATGCAGATACTCGAGGGCCGCAACGACCTCCGCGGCGTAGAATCGGGCATCCTCCTCTGCCAGGCATTTCGATGGTAACATCTGCAACTGCCGGAAAAACTCTCCACCTGAGCAATACTCCATGCAGAAGTACAAGTAATTGTCGGACTGAAAAGAATGATAAAGTGTAATGATGAATGGATGGTTTGCCGTTGCTAGAATCTCTTGCTCAGCCAAAGCACGTTTGATCTTCTTGCGTGCAATCATTTCCTTTTTCGAGAGCACTAAAGAGAACAAAGACCGCTCCGTTTAGGTCACACAGTGCAAAGTATAGCATGAAAGCTCACACCTTTCATTGCATAGAGCTTCTCCGTGGCCTTATGCTTGACGAGATACACCTTGCCGACATCCCCGCGCCCGATGAGCCGAATCTTAGCAAAACTACTTGGTCCAACTTCAACCTGAATACGAAGTGAAAAAAAGGGTCGAAGAGAAGAAAAATCCATTTAGTTTTTCTTGCTTTGCCGAACGTTGAAACATGTGCAGCGAACCCACCGCTTTGACTTTGATGGAATTGCTGGAGTACGTCCTTCGGAACCGCGCGCGCGCCTCATCGACACCAGGGGACATGCCGACGGATCCTGATGCGACACTATTCGCTCTCGACCCACGTGCCGATCGCAAACCATATTTCGAAGCATACCGCGATGACGAAGAGGAAGTCGTATCCAATGAATCACCATTCTTCTTCTTAGGTGAGTCAACAGGTGCATTAGGGAGTGGAGGAGGAATCAAAAGCTCCGCAGGAGCGAGCAACCCATTTATGGTAACAGGGGGAGTGCTTTGTCTGCTACCAGGGACGTTAAATAAGTTTTTCGCGTTAGGGGCAGAAGCAACGCGTCGAATAAACCGTGTGGCAGCGTTTGGTCGTTTGACGCCTTCCGGCTTAGCAGGAGTGTTCTGATTTGAGCGCATTGACGTACGGCCCTTGCGCTTCATAGTATCAGCTGTTGCCGGTGGACTAGTTGACCGAGGACTCTCGAATGTAGGCGTTTGGGGGAAAAATTGGGTTTGTGATGCATCGGGTGTAGTGGTCAAGTTGAAACGTCGTTTCGAAGGCGAACGGCCTAGGAAACGCTGCGAAAGCGATTTGGAAGATGTTTTAAGAGACAGCTTTGGTGTTTGTAACGAAGCAGAACGAGATTGCGCACGCGATGGCGGACTGGAAACTGGAGGTGTTCTGGGACTTGTTGGCGTATCAAGTCGGGCACTTCTGCGGGGAGGGGAAGTCGAATCGCTTGAATGTGACGGAGACGAATTGTCATAATATGGCTCTTCTCCCGATGGTCTCGACAATTCTGAAGGGTACGTAGATGCTGAAGGAGAGTGATATGGTGCCGTATTCAGAGATGGGCGAGGGATAGGTGGATGAATGCCATTGGCATAAGCACCTGGAGTACGGTCGCCCTCTTGATCATCAAAATCTGTCCCATTGATGTGTACGCTAGGCGTCGGGGTATTCTCGATGCCTGGGCCATATTTCCGCTTGGTATCCTTGCGGAAACGAAATACAGACTTCCAAGAAGGTCCAGGGGATATTGATGAAGGGGTTGTCGCAGATACAACGCCTTGACGATGGTACAGAGGGGATCGAGGGGAGAGAACAGGCATACCTAGGTGGTGAAGGGAGCGAACACGAGCTGTCCGCTACAGCTTGCGGCTAAGCAAACTGGTTTTGGGAAGGGAAAGGTGGTTGGAAGTCGGGCCCGGTGATAAGCCATCGGATTTAATCCCAATGTCCGCCCAGGCGTACCTTCAATAAAGTTTAATTATAAAGACACCCACATCTTTCAATCTCATTTCTCCAGCATATTTCCTCATTCGGTTTGGTTACGAGTTGTCAATAATCTCGTTTCTTTTCCATCCGTGCCGATCTAGTCGACCTTTGCCGCATGCATACCGAGGATTAACCAATATACATGGGTAAGACGCTGAGTGCTGCATTGAAGCTCTAAACACTCTCCAAGTTTGTTGACTTCTTCAACTTAGACCCAGGGTAATCAACATGCGCCGGTCCCAATTCCCGCTGGTTGCGGGCCGTGAGCCAGCAAAAGCGATCAAGCGATTTGATAGTCACACACAACTACAATGGGCATCTTCTGATTCTTCCCTGCTGTCAAGCAGACATAAATCGTATGGCATTCAATACAATCCTATTTGGAGCAAATTCTTTGATACAAGTACCTATCCCGGATATATTCTCACAAGGGCGGACACCCTTTTCTCAATCCAACGCTTTTCTTTACAAATTTTGAGAAAATTACCCAAAAAAGGATAAATCGGGTTCACTCGACTTCTATTTCATCCATCGGTAAGCAAGCACCCCCAGTTTGAAAATATGGACATACCCCATCACTGAGACGATCCCCCCGAATAATCCCAAAGAACGGTCTTGATCTGTGTGTAGTTGTCAATTGCATACGATCCGAGTTCACGGCCTATGCCGGATTGCTTGTACCTGCGACAAAAATAGAAGATCATTAAAATGTTGCTGATGCGGGGCAGAGGAATCGCCACACCCTCCAAATGGTGACTGGGACGACAGTACAATATGAAATTGCACGTCAGCAACGTAGACCTCTTTCCCACAAGGGTGGGTAAAGGGTGAGAGTTTTGATCGCACCTGGTTGTAAAGAAGTCCGTATTGATTCACCCAAACGGTCCCCGCTTCCAAGCTCGCCTGAACACGCTGACATTGATTCGCGTCACCTATTAGAACATGAGGAAAGTTTGGGGTTCCACCAATGAAAGAGAGAAGCGGGTTTTCACTTACTCGAGTGAAATCCTGCACCCAAGCCGTATGTCGTATTGTTCGCGAGTTCGATCACCTCCTCTTCCGTGTTGAACTTGGAAACCACCAATACTGGTCCAAAGATCTTAACCCCGACAAACGATGACCGCAAATCATCAGAATATCGATGATGGATAAAGAGGATAATAATCAAGCGAACCTCTTCTTTGACAACTTTCATGTCCGGAGTGACATCACCAATGACTGCGCAGGTCATGTAAGCGATCGAGAACAACCGACGGGACGTATACTATCTCCCCAAAGGAGAAAGCATCCGAAGATATGATTTACTTGTTGGAAGATAGTACCATCCTTTGCCTTCCCACTTGGTACCACCATAGAGAATCGAAGCTCCAGCTTCCTTCGCGCCCTCCACATAATTAACGACCTTGTCACGTTGAGCCTTGCTAACAAGTGGACCTCCGAGGGCTCCTTCCTTGAAGTTATCCCCGTAACCAGCCGTCCATTCCTCGGCGGAGGCTTTAAGTTCCTTCAAGAAGGCATCGTACACGGAAGCTTGGACGTAAAGTCGAGACCCAGCACTGCAATCCTGGCCCTGGTTCAGGAAAATACCTCCAGTGACATGGGTCGCCGCTGCAGTGAGGTTTCAATACATCAGAAACCTGAATTCAAATCTGACATGGCAACAGTGCAAATTGTCATTGCTCACCATCTTTCAGATTAGCGGATTCAAAAATGATGTGCGGGCTCTTGCCTCCCAATTCAAGTGTGACCTGGTTTGAGGGTACAAATTTGCAGTTTCAGCGTCCAGACTATCTATTTGATGCGAGAGCTAGCACCTTTTTCAGGTTGCTAAGCGCAGCAGCCTGCATGATCTTTCTCCCAGTGAGAGTGGAGCCGGTAAAGGCAACCTTATCGACATTGAGATGCGAAGCCAAAGCAGCGCCCCCAATCGGCCCGTAAGAGGGCACGCAGTTGAACACCCCTGGCGGGAATCTTCGAGACAGGAACATGTATGTAAACTTCGATTCGAGAGAAATCCTTAATTTGCTTACCCTGCTTCCGCGACTAGTTCACTGAATTTCTGCGTGAACGCTTCAATGAGGCACAAGCGAAGGATGGTAAGTCCAATGAGTTACGTACCAAAGCAGGCAACGGCGTGAGCTCTGATGGCTTAAGAATGACGGTGCAACCAGCAGCGAGGGCGGGCCCGATCTTCCAAGCCCTGAGCGCACTTTGAGTTTCACAGCCGCCGGAGGAACGATCGGACTCACAGCATCATGATGTTGTAGTTCCATGGAATACTTAGGAGTGATGAGCCATGATGTTGTCAACCTTAGAAACCTGTATATGGAAGCGTACATTTGGGCACAAACCCCAAACGGCTCGACGCGGGTGGAGGCTGACTTGAGGCCTTTATCATCCACCTCAATAGTCTATTGGGGATTCGTCAGGGCGATGGTCCAGAACCCCTGGATAGGACCTGATATGAACCTGCCCAAAAATCTTGTCGGCCCAGCCAGCGTAATATCTGATGGATCATATTGAGCAATACAACCATCAGCGAGAACATATATAAGCTGTCTCATACCGAATACACGCAATTGAATCAGGCAGATCCACCTCCCTGGCTACCTGTGCGCTCTTGCCATTGTCCAATGCTTCGAGGCCAGCAAACGCTTCAGCATCACGTTCCAGAAGATCGGCTAACCTATTCAACAGCTTTCCACGTTGCACAGGTGGGAAGTTGCGACCCCATACGGTTTTTGAACGCATTTCGAGAAGAGGCGACGGCGATATCAATGTCCTGTTCTGTAGCTATAACCGAACCGCCACGCACGTTTGGTCAGGGCGGCATCGTGAACATGTGGAACAGGGGTAGAGATAGGGACCGACCTGAAGAGACGGTCGCTAGAAGCTCCTCGGTGACAGGATTGATCGAACTATTTCATTGCCAGTTTTTTCTAATTAGGCCTCTAAACGACGGCAACACTAACTCAATAGTAGCACCCTCAACGGAAGGAACGAATTTATTGTCCTGAAAGCAGGTATCAAAACTGATGTTCCGATGAGCATCTCCTGTCCGCTGCAACTCACAATAAATAGACCTGTTGGAACATCTAACTTGCGCCCATTTGGGAAAGCGAGGTTGACAACGGCCGGGATCTGCTTGGCCATGAGGGAAACTCGGTGCCGAAAGTTGTTGCACAAGGGAGCCCGACAGAGCAGCCCCACTTCTCGACCACGTGCAGAGGATGTACGATAACAATATCATCCTTGATCAGGCCAATAGCAGGAGTGCAAGCAAGGATATTATATACACAACGAATCCGGATAAGGACGGCAACGACTTGTTTGTCATAGAGGCTGGAGTCCTGCCTAGGGAACGACTACATTAGCTTATTGCATGTCCACGATGCTGCTTCCTGCTCCTTGAAGGGTTTCGGCACCCCAAACCTCCATTCTTCGAAGCACCAGCAGGTCAGTTCAAAAAGCAGACACGCTGCATCCTTAAAGTCAGGGAACAAGATCAAGGAGTTTGTATTATCCTCCTCAACTTTCCATTACATTATACTGTGGCGCCAACTGCAGCAATTGCTCTCCCGACACTAGTGCCATCGATGCTATCGACGTTCCTGAATTCCATATGCTTTCAGAACTTCGTCCCCAACAGACGATGGGCTCTTGAACAACGGATCAGTTCCTCCAGCCGTCTTGGGAAACGCGATCACATCCCTTATTGAAGAAGTGTTTACACAGAATGGTCATGAGACGATCGAACCCTGCCATAACAGATGCCGATTAGCACGACTGCAGGAGTGTGGGTAAGATTGTATGGAATAACCTAGGGCGATGCCGCCATGAGGTGGCGCTCCGCAGCGGAGAGCATGTACTAACGGCTCGAAGGGTTCTCTCTCTTCCCTGGAAGCTTGAAGGAATTTTTTCAGTAACCCCCGTTGATCGTGTGCAGGACATTGACATACTTGAAGGACTTGCTTGAATACATACTCTTGAAGTTCAGCATCATGATACGGACAGATCCCACCCCCTATCTCATTTCCGTTAAAGAACAAGGTCATAATGCTGGCCGCGAACCTATCGAATCACGCCAGAAGGAAAATCATCAGCGGTGTTAGAAAACAAATGAACCGAAAACCTCGTACGTTAGCCGGGTTGATAGTCCCATCTAACAATCCTTCCGCGTCTTCCCCACATTGGGGCAGTGAACGGATGATGGGAACTACTCCAGCGACCGTGGCCCAGGAAAGCATCTTTATCCGCATCAGCACGGGTAAACAAAGGAAACTCTGTAATCCAAAGAAAATTGGGTTCGTGCGGCGGCGAATAGCCTTTAAGGTCACCCGCAGTGTAAGGGCACGAAGACGGATTCCGTACGGCTGAGACGCACCAAGTTTTGCAGCTTCATCTGCCAAGCGAAGCCTTGTCCTCCCGAGAAGAGTCGATCCACCCTGTGGTGATAGTTGGGATAAGGACGTATTGTTCAAGACAGGAAAGAGATAATCACCTCAAGCCGCTTTTCCCTCAGCGCCAAGAACAAAATGTCACCAGGTTGGAGTGATGCCAGGGTATCGGGACGATCAAACCCGTGGTTCACATCACCAACCCGGTCAACCGCGTGCACAGCAAATTGGAGCCCTTCCACCAGTTATGCTGATTCTCCGAGGCGATCATGATGCGCTCCGCCTAGTTCGCATGTCGAAGCGTCAGAATGAGCTCTCGAACAGGGACCTTTGAACCACACCTGGCAGTCATTGAGGCCTAACGCCACTTCCGAGGCTTCTGATGCAGCTTTGGAGAAGGCAACTTCCGTCATTGCAGAAGACTGTTGGCTGCCTCTGATGATAATACATTCCAATACTTTGTCCGAGGCATCGAGAAGCCCGGCAACCGGCTCGGGGAGCAGTGGCGCAGCATTCTGGATCTATTGGGACCGGGTCACAGGATATAGACGGCTTCATCGGGGCGGAATTAGCCTCACCAAGCAACCAAATCGCGTATCAGGTTTATCAGACCCATACTATCCCAAAAGAACGATTGGCATCATGAGTGTAGGGACAGCTGAGTGACATGCGAGGGGGATCATACCTTAGCCATAGCTTCCTCATACGTCAGCACGTGGAAATTTCGATCTAGCTCCATGCCCTTAACTTCACGCCAAACTTGTCTTATGATGCCTTCGACAGTATCTTTGACTTCTCGCCCTCCAATTCTCCATCCGTCTTGATGTTGACCGTTATGATCGCCCCATGAAACCCAGGCCATCTCCATATCAACTTGGGTAAATTCGGCTGCCTGTCTTTCCTGCCATCTTCATCTCTAAAACATCGAGCAAATTGATAGTACCGGTCAACACCACCCGAAATAATCAGGAGTTGTTTAGGTTGTTGAGGCGACTGTGACAGGGCATAGAAGTGGGGACCAATGGTTGCGGATGACGCGCCATTTGTGGGGGAAGCCGATGCAGGTAATCGGGCGGGCACAAGGAATTCTCGCGCCCCTTCGGGCGACGAACGCAACAGCATCGGGGTTTCGATTTCAGTAAACCCTGATATGAGATGTAAGGCTGAGAAGTCACTCTCAGCACGCCAAGGATATCATTGCCATTTACCGCTATCTGCCAGATGTGACCGTATAATGTTCGCGACCTGACTTCGAGTTCGGAGATTCTGGGAAAGATAATCTCGTCTCAAATCCAAGTAGCGATATCGAGATCGCAAATTCTCATTTGCCTTCGATATAAAAGTCAGCGAGCGCGCAGTTGAAAGCATGTTCATTTTCCCTACAAGATTCTGGAGATCTGACGGGTAAAATGGGAGTTCTCGTTCTGCCGCATTTAGAACAGTGACATCATCCAAGATCACTTCTACCCCTCCTGTTTCTTTCTAATTCAACTATCAGCTATGCGTGAGAGACAAATACATGACTGGCAAGCTCACGTCTCGCTGAGCTTGTTGTGGCCGTGTTTTCACTCTGCCCTGAATTAGCAATGTAGACTCCAAAGGCACGTTAGATAGCTCTTCAATAATGTTCCGAGAAATCGGTGAAAAGGACGGAGCCGAAGAGCCATCCTTGGAAGCATCATGACGAGGCAGCGCAACTAACTGTGTGGTTCCGAAGCTGTCTTTCAAGGAAAAGAAAGCCATACTCTTCGATATCTTCCTTTCTATCAATTACGAAAACTAATTAAACTAGCCAAAAAGATGAATGCGCGTACCTAATAGAGGTGAGCCATCCTGTTAGAATGACCTGCTCTCCGTCATGCTCAGGTCCCAGTCCCCCGCATGTATGCGTCCGAGGAGGATATGGTCCTAAAATCAAGCAGAAAATTCAAATATAACACGCATTAGCTACGTTTGCGACTCACTTCTGTGGGCCAGTGCTCGGCCA